AACCTTGACTTATATTTTAGCTTCCACAGTTGTACATGTTGTACACAATTTCGATGAGTGTCGAATGGCTATTTCGTAACCGCTCAGTAACACGACATTACGCTTGTACTCAAGATTCTCGGGATACGTACCGAGTACCTTGCGTTAAACGGCGGTTAGCCCCTAGCTATTCTCTTGGAAGCTTCTTTTTCATTTCAGTGATTAAGAACCGCTATCTGTTTATAATTAACTGATCCTCAATTCCAAAACAATATCCCTCTGAGGTGAATGTGATCTTTTATCGATTTGACTTTCACCCCTCTCTACTCTAAGTATGAAATATTATGAAGTAACGCGTCGATAAAGATTCGTAGTGCTGAATGCAAAGCTTCGTTTTTGAATTCCGCTTTTAATCTCATTTGAAGATGCGCATTGAACTGGCTGTACCATAATCAATAATACAAAGGAAGAATAAATAATTATTCCTAGCTGATTAAATAAACTGTGATATGCACGCCTTATAAATTTGCTCATCTCTTTCTTCGCTCATCTGGATTTCGTTTTCTTTGAAAACGCCATTTTGGAATTTCGCTAGAGTTTTAAGTATTGAAACTTGATGCGTCACGGCCGTTGTTCCACTTAAAACTGAACGGCAGGTAAAACCTATGAAAACAAGTTTCACACTTAAGATTTACCGGTGCAAACGAAATTCAAGCGGCACAGAATCCTTCAAGTGGATTTCAGACTTGCTACAGTCATGTCTACTGATCTGAGGCGAAATGTGTTTCAGCATTTAATCCGTTCCAGTCAGGCGATCCCTTAATTTCAAGAACCAAGCTTAAAATAGATTCCGGCTCTTGGTGAAAAATTGTGTACGTAAAAGTCATCTTTTTCTGGTTTCAAACCTGTTCAACAAATGAATTTCTCAGTGCCCATCGGAACTTTTCGCAGAAGGGTTTTTCATCAGTTCATTCATGAACAACAGCTAGAATATTTTCTCCTCGGCTTGCCTTCCTCATTTTTTGAAGCAGCTGCGTTTGCAGACAGTCTCGCTTGAAAAAAGTAGATCAGATGCACCCGGAAGGTTTTTAAAATTTTACCGATTTACGCTCAGTCCGAAAACCAGTGACTACGCAACAAACAAAGGAGTCGATCGCATATCAGACATGACCTTTAGCGAGTTATGAATGAGTTAGTTGTTGTAACTGATAAAATGTCGACATTCCATACACTTTCATGATGGGGTTATTTCCGGCGACCTCGTAGAGGTGGGGCGCTAATCTGCATTTCTATACCAACAGCGAGGAAAGCTTCATTTTAAAGGCAGAATCGCTACAGTCACATGGCAAACTTGGTTTTTTGTACGTGCATCCGTTACCATGTAGACGTAGCCTGTTTAAATGACCATGTAGATACCAGTTCAGCAAAGGGCGGCATCGAAAGCCGCGAAACTTAATGCTGGTGAAGTTCGGTACTTGGCATTTATGTAGCTGCGTAGAATTAAATTTATGAAAATTTGACAAATGATGAGAGGGCTTTTAACACTGCTTCGATATAAGTCCTTAGAGAGACGTATTGGGAAAACTTTGGATGTTCAGAAACTCTATATATCTGGGTAGTACGTGTTGTACGCTGTCGGCATGAAGCAAATTCAGCGTCTAGAGGGCGAAGACACATGATGATTAGTCTGGGTCAGATGCACAGTGTCAAAAGCAGAAATTATTTAAGATCCGATAAATCGCACATATATAATTCTTGACCTAATTTTGACAGAAGGTTCAAAATTCGTACCACTCGCAGAGCAGATACAACCTATCGTTCCAGTGGGACATCGACTGAAACTCCCAGTTTTCTCTAGCTACATTGGTAAAACCTAAAAATTGTATGTTTACAATACAACATACATTTGCTGTGAAAAATTTGCTTGATGATGGCTTCCATGCCTGAAGCCGAAAAGTCGGAGTAGAGCAAAGGAGGATCTTGCATCACGCCCAAATTCATTTTTCATTGAAAAAATAAGCAGATTTTTAACTTTGGTGTGTATTGATAAATGATATTTGGAAAAAAAATATTAATTCTTCTTACTCTCTCTTCACAAGCCTCAAAAGTTCCCTTTTCTTTACCCTGTAATATATACGGAGATGCATATATCTTGAAAACAGGAAATTGATCTTGAAACGGTATGGCTGGCAGAGGAAGCTTCAGAAACTGGAATGAGCAGCATCTTCAGTTTCTTCTTTTCAATTCTGCTGTATAGCGCATTTGGTTTGGAAATCTATACATAGGAATCTGACGTTTACTGATAATGTTCTATGCCAAATAAAGTATGATTACATATTAATATCATGCAGAGGTTAATGGT